TGTGGTGACTACGTCGTGTATTTTTTGATTATGAAGGAAATAAATAATACAAAGGTCGTTCGAAAAGTCTTGCACGACAGCTTCTCAAGAGAAGAGATTTTATTATTTTTATGTGAAATTTCATACAGATATAGTATTACCCTTCCTAAAAGTTTATATGAAATTTCAGGATCATAAGCAATATACTTCTTGAGAAACATAGACTTAGAAATTTGAACCAATGGCTCCATGGTGCATATGACGTCATTAGATGGAATTGATTTTGTGAATGCCTTTATAGACTGAGGTGATTCCGTCGATCTTTGTTCTTTCATCTGTTAATCAGGTTATATTATAACTAATTTATATTTAATCTAAATATACAGTACTAAACATATAGTCTTCCTTTTCAGTTATACTTGTTTATACTTGTAGCATTTCGTCCAGTCCATAAGCAAATGTCTGAACCATCCTATGTATAGGATATCAAGCCCTCTCATAAGTGCAGCTACCCTCAATCCATTTCCCTTCTCTTATTACATCTTGGAATACTTAGCAGACCCTATTGGAGTCATCATATGCAATATGTTTTAATCATGAATGAATATAACTTGTGTAATACTGTTTCCCCATTCTTTATCATGTATTCTATCAATGTTTTCTGCTCCAACTTTATTATTCCGAGCCATATTCTCCAATATTTCCTGAATTCATGAGAACTTTGATAACGTCCCAAAATCAGGTAATTTGTCCAAGATGTTTGAAGAGTATATTTATGGTCATTCTTTGACATAACCAAAGAAAACAAGCTGGGAAATATTGAGAAAGTTTCACATTTTCCATTGAGAACAATACTAGAAATTGTTTACATTTAAATTGACAGTTTATTAAAGTTACATTAGAGTGCTTTGAAACATTGATCTTTATGTGTTACTAGTTATCTTTTACAAAATGATATGGACCACAGTGTCATTGCACCGTGGTTACTATAGCAACCGTAAAATGTTAAGTAGTAGGCATACATGAAACGTTGACAGTGTAAGGGAATAAGATATTGGCACACACATACCAACTATGAACAATATTTGTCCATTATTCTCACAATTAGACATATTTGTGCAAAGCTTTTTGAACAACCCTTGTATGTTATAAAAAACTACGTCGTTTTCTATGTTGTCTTGTTAAATGTCAAGCAATCACATAAATTCTTAGGCTCTACGTATTTCTTGCTTCAAACTGTTTCTTTTTGTGTTCGTTTCATCCTTAAAAAGAATTTTTGGATTTGCATCATGAGGGTTAAACCCCATTGAACTGCAGTCAATTAATTCCCTCCTTTTCACCAATCTAATTCCAGACGTTGAAGTTCTTTCTTAAAAACGTCTTCTATTGAAACTATGAAAAGCATTACATCATTGAAAATACATTTTACGTACAATGGGATCTACTACAGACTACATGTGTATTTATAAAAACGTGCTTCACAAATGGGCTCGTACGCAATGGACTGCAACGCCCAAACAAATAAAATCATTTACATCTTCAAAATTGATGCATCCATTAAAGTCACTTGTTCTTTAAATGGAATCTTTAAAGGAAATCTTTCCTTTCCTTCTTTATGACAATTCAAAGAACACCGGGGTATATTTAAGGACTTAAGGCCTGGACCCAGTACATTGTAGACTGATTCATTCCTTAAAGGTGTTGTGTCAAACTTTGCACGAGATGTGTAGCATCGAGCGCTAAGTTTAGGAAACAACGTCTGCATGGAATAAATTAGCCACGAAGCAATAGTCTTGAGCTTAAATTCTTTTCACACATTGCAAAATAATTTATACAATAATAGCATATAATAATAACTATTAGCTAACTGATCACTGAAGTAGACGCAACCTGAAACTTACATAATCGGCTGATTATGATACAAATCTACAAAGAGATGTGTGTATTTGTAAGTATTGTAAGTGGCATATTGACAGGTTCAGAGTTTGAGAAGCCATTTTTATGTTATCATCGTTATTAAGGGAGGAGGGGGTAACCCAGATTTCAAAGAACCTATCTACATGTAATACTGAGCATCATGGGATAAGTTCATCTTTGAATTCTGGGTTATTTCACCACTTATCGCCATTTTAGTTTGCTGACTTTGTGCTTACGATAACTGCACTATGCCCCAGAACGTTGCATATTTTTTCCAATTCCATTCTGACCTCATGGTTCTCATATCTTCAATTCTTAATGTGTCTCCTTGTTTCAAATACGCAACTGCGAATGAAGAACAGGATCGGTCCCTCGCATTATTTGCTGCAAAGCTACTCGCTGATTCGTCTGAACCTTGCGTACACGCAATATATGGTTCGCTATTTCCATTTACAAAAATGCCGGCTGTATTCTCAGGGAGCGCCGTATGAAAGGTAATCTAAAATATCAAATTATGAACTTTATAAGTAAAAACATTTGCGCCAATCCAGTTAATTATTTCTTTGAATAGAGGCAGAGTAAAATCATTTCTCTAATTTAGTCTGTAACTAATTTTAAATTTTGAAATATACCTGTGTGAAAAAATTATTGATTGTGAAAAAATCATTGATATTATTCAAAATATAATTCCAATTATATCAGGCAAAATAAGTTATTTGCTTCCATTTACATAAAGCTTGCTGATTATGTGCATCTTTCGTGATTATTGTACTTTTCTCATTTAAAGGAAAAACTTTAAAAGCCTAGTGTTCAAGAAATACTATAGTGCCATCTATATTAGTCGAACATCTTGGGACCATTTATCTAAGTAAGCTGGATTGTTTCGATATCTACAAACGAAATAATTAGTCCAAAGAATAACTGGTATTGGGGAATTGCAGTTGAGATACAATTATATTATAGACAATGTAGGCAATTCAACTCAGATAGTGAAACTTTGAAAGAACTGTCAATACAACAGTTAGAGTCACATTTATTTTTACACCTATGCTATTCAGTCCTTAACAGTAGTTAAATGATATTGGGACGAGGTTTTCACTCATTGATCAAATTAGATTTTTTTGTTTTTTGGGTGAAGTAATTTATTTCAGGTTAAGAATAACTTGCTGGAATTCTTATCCTTAATAAACTTAATATTTTTTAATTCATAACGATTTGTAACTTTGGCAATCAATAGACTGGAGTCTTTTTACGTTCTTTTCTGTAATAATAGATTGAAGCTTGACAATTCTTTTTTGAAGCTAATTAATTAATTTTTGTTAAAATTGAAAAATTGCTAGTATTTTCTCTTCAGTTTCGAACTAGGTTTCGAATATTTTTTCACGCTTTGGTATTTCCTAGAAAATGGTTATGCTCGGGTCATTTTTTAAGCTGATGTCATATAATAAATAATATTTTGGGGGTTTATTTACGATGAAAAAACAGCTACTAGTCCTTCAAGATAACTCCAAGATATAGGATGAAAAAATGTGGATTCAAAATTTATTTTATCAGAAAAATATTTATTTCTTATACACATGTATATTGCATTTCACAGACATGAACACTGGCATTCTAGTACATCAAGTTACAAAGATCATCCTCACGAGGTTTTATATCTCAAAACAATTGGTGAATCACACCTAGTACATTATATACATTTATATACATGTTTACATTTATATTTATGAACACATATCAAAATAATGTACACTAATGGACTGATTATGTACAGTGTACAAAATATGCATTCACAAGAAAAAACATTTACATTGCCAATGAAAACCACCGAGAACCTACTGTAATACTATGTTTATTATGTCTGGCATTTATTTTCGCGATTCATTACATTTCAATTTTGACAAAATTGTTTATTACTTCAAAACCGAAAGTATATATCAGGGCAAATCAATATACGATAATTATTAATTCCATGAATTCTGCTATTCTACCACATCCTGCGCCATGTGTATTGATATCAACGACATTATATGTGTGTTATCGTGATGTCAATACAACTGTCTACCATGACCATGCGATATAAATTAAAAATATTGCTAATTATTTCTTATTATTTTTTTTGACAAAAATCAAATTTTGGTATGGAAATTCGGACAGCATGACAAATTATGCATCAAGTCCGTTGATAATTTCTAACTGGTTAATAAAATATGTTTCCGACCGGGTTTCAAAAGGGGTTGTTTGATATGACATACTTATTTAAAAATAACACGTTTTATAATGTCCATTTGTTTTGTATCCTCCAACATATGCTCAACATATTCAATTTACTGACACATTAGGTATAATTAAGAATTTAATAAGCTGTTTTTGAGAAATAATAAGCAATATTTTCAGTATACGTCGCATGATTATGATAACCAGCTGTGGTGACTTTAAAATAGCACACATCAAATGTCGCTGGTATCAACAGACACTACGCAGGCTTTTGATAATATCAATTATCGTAAAGGACGATTCTCGGTTTGGAGAACAGTCTCCTGGGCTAATAATTTTTTCATGAAAAATATAGAAATATTACCCAAATCAAACTATGAATATCCGAAAGAGGACATTTAAATCTACAAGATGTAAAAATAACAAATTGGTCTGAAGCAGGGATAATGCTCAATTAGACCGATTCAATAAAATACAAGTCTCGATTTGGGGAAAGAAGTTCATCAGTGTACTGCGCTAATATTTTTTTGCGAAAAATCTAGAAATATTACCCAAATTAAATTATGATTATTCAAAAGAAGACACTCAAATCTATATTATGTAAAAAAATCAAATTTGTCCGAAGCAGGGATAATGCTCATTTAGATTGATGAACTTCGTTCTCCAAACCGAGAATCGTCCTTTGCCCATCTTTACCTCAATAATTCCTTCGTTTTCAATTCTGTTCCAACTAAATAGTTCAACCACATGTAATTCAAGGTAAAAACATTCAGGAATCCTATTTGTTTACCACCCAAAACAGTCACAAAATGTCTGCTTGAAATTTCGCTCAGCACGCCCATTTTTACTTAAAAAAAACTCAAAGAGCAGGATAATCCAAAATAGCCTAATGTATTTGATAAAGTCCAAAAAAGCTTTCCGACTCATTAAACTTAGCCCTACCAGTTGCATTTAAAAATTTAATGAATAATTCACTGTTTGGCGTATCAATGTGTATAAGCCCAGCTGAAAAACAACTATGTCCCGGTCCAAGTGTTGGTCCGTGATCTTTATCTGATCTTGGGATGTTCAAATGTCTTAAGTCTAGCACACATTCCAAATGTACCCTTTGCTTTTGATTCCCTTTCTCGTCAGGTTCGTTCAAAACCAAAGCTACCCTGTCGTATAACTTTGTGCTTTCTACTGTCACCTGAAACAGAAAATGTTTTCAGGTTTAATTTTAAAAAAAAAGCAAATGTTTTCAGGTTTAATTTAAAAAAGAAAACAGAAAATGTTTTCAGGTTTAATTTTAAAAAAAAACAGAAAATGTTTTCAGGTTTATTTTTTTAAAAAAAAACAGAAAATGTTTTCAGGTTTAAATTTTTAAAAAAAACAGAAAATGTTTTCAGGTTTGATTTTTAAAATAATGAAATTTTGTTTAACCTTTTTAGGTATAATATCAACAAAATGTATTTTCAGTAACCGGATGTTACTCTTAACCGGATGTTACTCTTTACACACTGGTAAAATATCTGGATAGACATCGACCTCCTTCTTGGTGAAAAAGATGGAAATAAAAAGAAGAATTTCATCCATTTTGTTATAAAGACGTAACAGCAATGAATATGAATAATGTGATTGCCGAATAACTTTTTCCAGCTTTTTTCTTGGTTTACTTGAAGAAAGTGCAAATAGTTTACAGACAGGGCTAGCTTTGGTTTAGAAATGTGAATATACGTGTATACAATCGGGATGTCATTATACTACAGGATGTCATAAATCTTCCGAAACAACCGCTATTTTTTAATTCTCAATTAAATGTTGTTTACACGCATACAGGTGTCATGACGTCATAATATGAGAAGGATTGGCTTAAGAAATTTTAGAATGCTTGTGGTAATAACCTCATGAACAATAAAATAGACCACTTTTACATGTTTATGATAATTAAATTATCTCTAAAATGACAAAAGTTTAAGAATATTCCTTATTACTCGAACTAGAGTAATTCCATGGAAAATGGGCGATGGTACTAAAGCAAGCCTCTCAATAACTAAACATGGTGAACATGTCTAAACTTTTATGATTTCAAATTGGCTGCAAAGAACACGCTGATTCAAAACAAGCTATTGTATTTTCAAAGTCCAAAAGGCTTTCCGATTCATTGAACTCTGCTCTTTCCGTTGCATTTATATCTTTAATGAATCAATCGCTGTTTGGCTTATTAACACAAATAAGCCCAGCTGAAAAACAACCTATATGACTTGGTCTTTTAATTGGGTATAACGTTTTCAGGTATTATATGAACAGAAAGTATTTCCAGGTATAATGTTTCTAATTTTTGGGCATATGTGTTTGGGCAATATCAACAAAAAGTGTTTTCATGTATAGTATCAACAGAAGATGTATTCAGGTAAAATGTTTTGAAGTGTTGCATCAACAGAAAGTGCTTTCAGGTATAGTATTTTAGTATAATATCAAGGGAAAGTGTTTTCAGGTATCATGTTTTCAAGTTTGTCAGGTACAATATCAACAGAAAATGTTTTCAGGTATGATGCTGTATAGTATAACATCAACAGAAAGTGAATTCTTGTATGTTTTCAAGCATAATATGAAAAGAAAATGTTTTTAGGTATAATATTAATAGAAAATGTTTTCAGGTATAATATCAACATGAAGTGTTTTAGGTACAATGTTTCAGGTATAAAATAAATAAAACGTGTTTTCATAATAACGTTTACAATATATTATAAACAGATAATTTTTATGATGTTTTCAAGTATAATATCAACAGAAAGTGTTTTAGGTATAATGTTTCGGGTATAATGTGAATAGAAAGTGTTTTCATAATAATATTTACAAATATATTATCAACAGGGAGTGTTTTTATGATATTTTCAAGTATAAAATCAACGGAAAGTATTTTTAGGTACATCATCAATTGAAATCATTAAGAACATGCTGGTCATGCAGTATATGTTATATTTGAAAGGGTAATCGAGTGGTTGCGGGTAGGAATATTGTTTGGAATTCGGAAAATAGCCAGAAGAGACGAGAATCCACGAGGACAAATAAATAATATATTACCGAAAGCGCGTGAAACGTGGATCATTTTGCCGTAATTTGTGGAAATAAATGCCATTCATAATGATGAAATAATACATTTCAAAATAAGATATATTTTGTCTATTTTTATTGGGGCAACTTCATGGAGAAAATGCTACCGTAAATTCATAATTTTCCTTAAAAAGAAATCATAAGTAAATATGAATAGTAAGACCTCATTATGACTTTTCCACCTTTGTTGGTTTAGGTTAAGAAAGTGCAACTAGTTTACTTATACCGCTAGCATTGACTAAGAAGTACATGAGTATGCATGTACGGATACCAAAATAAGATTGTCATTACACAATAGGGTGTCATACATCTACCAGAACAACTGCTAATTTACAATTCTCAATTTAATTGTTGTTACAACACATTCAAGTATCATGACGTCCTGAGAACAATTGCCCAATTAGTTAAATTTTAAGATGTTTCATGTAATAACCTCCTGAACAATAAAATGTAATTTACCTGGAAATAAACCATATAAAGACCCTTTTGCTTTACAGTAATGGTCCCCTCACTGTAGGTCAAATCATCAGGTTGTGGCCAGCCTTTAAGACCAGTATCCCATTGCTTAATGACGCCATCTATAACACACATTTAACACAAAATGAACATCTACTGGGTTTAACCAAGGGTGCACTTCTTTAGTTCGTTCAGTGTATGCCAAGTGCTGGTATCGCCATTTTTAGTTCAGTGCCAACTAGGTTAAAAGGAATATGGTTTGGGTTTGTTACTATCATACACTGAACGAACCAAATGTAAACATATCATGCTTATGTCACAAGAGAATTTAAACCTGATCGAATTTAAATTACTAAAATTACAAAAATATATTTACAATTAAGTATTATAGTTTATATTGCTCTGTGTTTTGTATTGTTGCTCTTTATGCGTTTCCATGATCAGAAATTAATCTTTTGATGTAAATCTAAAGATGTTATTACGGATACATGTATTTGCTTATTGTGATAGGGTTGGGATACAGCTAGTCGTTTACAGTCTCAGTCAAAGAAAATCATTCTATTTCAATTATTTTATTCCATATAAATAATGCAATACAATGCAAAACATATGGAAGAAATTGAATTAATACGAAAAAGGCATGTTTTAAAATATATTAGAATACTTTAAATTGGAAGGGAAAAGGCAGCTGAGAGTATACATTTTGCGAAATATTCAAAATAGCTAAGAATATTTCAAGAGATATATACCAAGGGGTTATGAACAGAAGACAGATAATGTTAAGAATACCTAAAATACATTGTTCTCTTACCATGACGTCATTATATCCATGGTGACAACAATTGATTTGGGAATTGTCAACTTTACGAAGTGGCCATTATCAGAAACTACATAAAGTTAGGAATTCCTAAAATCCATTGTTCTTTTTACTACAATCTCAACGCTTCTGTTCTTCACCCCTATATGAGTAATGATTAAATAAGGTTTATATACATGTTCCGTGGCCCACTTCAATGTTGTCGATGTCAGTATTTCCGATGAGATGCATTGCCGACGGCGTCTAAAAGGATAAATATTTTAAATAATTGGCTGTTAAGCAGATACAGTACCTGTCTCGCTCACACGTAATTCCTTATTGTTGTCCCCTGTGAGGTGTATGGCCAACGGATCCTAAAAGGTAAAAACAAGTTGTTTTGATTTTAATTTTAAATGTAGCTTTGCCATGATTGACATCTGAATAATGCAATCCAGTTAAAAGCATGGCCAACGGCTCCTAAAAGGTAAAAATTAGATTTACCATTTTAACACGGAAAGTGTATTATCCAATGGTTTTTCCATTTGGTTCGCGGCTACCGTTGAACCTTCTAAAAAGCAAATGTTTGATTTATTCGAGGAACATAAGAATCATTGAATACTGTACCTTTGCCAGTAGTGACATATCCGATGCGTCTATGCCCAGTGAGATGAAAAGCCACTTGTTTCTAAAAGGCAAGAGTAAGTATGAGACGGACATGTGATGGATAATCTCTATCCACGGGTCTCTATCCCCTTCTTTTTCTTTACCTAATTAGGGCTAACTCACAAGGAATAAAGAAATGAGCCCTGTGAGTAACACCTCATGGGGACAATTTCTAGTTTATGAATAGTCACTTTATAATCTTTGAATCCCATGTATAAACATACTGTCCAGTCGATCGCCATCAGCTTCTAAAAAGTAAATTTAAAGATTTTATTAATTCAATTTTGAACTATACTATACCTTTTCCAAAATGAATAGGCCTAATAGCAATATCCAGTCCAGTAAGATGCATGGCCAAAGGTATCTAAAATGTAAAACAAATTTGTTTTTGTTTAAATTTGGAAATATACCATACCTTTGTCGAAATGGATGTCTCCGACAAATTGGTCCCCAGTGAGATGCGTTGCTATGGGAACCTGCAAGGTACAACAAGTGTTTATTAGAACTTTTCAATAAACTCTGACCTTGGCAAACCAAGGAAACTATAGGGTATGTTGCATGGATTACTTTGTCCAATTGCTGCCCTGAAACTGTAAGAAGCACATCATAACCAATAGATGGCATGATTTAGTGAATTAATTGAAATCGAGTACATGGAACACCCCTGTATATGACATCACTATTTGTCATGTTTACTTCATAGATTTTCTATTTTAAAAGTTTTTAAAAATGTCCAATGGTAGAGCATTTGACCAATAAGTTTTGAATTTGGGCCCTTTTAATTCTACGAACTTTTCAACATTTTTTGTCTACATCGTCTCAATCTGCATGATGAATTTATTATCTTTGATGGACTACCCCGTTTAAGCAATCATTTGAGCTTGTTATGATGAGATGGTACATATAATTGACATTATTAGGGGGTTTATATAATATTACTAAAACTTCCATGTCTTATTTTATTAGCTTATTAACCACATCCAATCTAGAATTTGTTTTCCTCATGACTGGTTACGCTTTTAGATGTTTTACTGTTTCTCGATTGTTTTGCTATGTATGCTCTAAGTCTCACGCTTATATATTTGAGGTATTTGATGTTTCACTCTGGCTTTATATAAATGGTAAATATGGTCTATTTTGGTTAAGATTGCTTTGCTTTCCAAGGTTTGCCACTTGTGCACACATATGTATACATATTATCCCATTTATACATTAATGCCACCTTTGTTTGTTGAAGGAAACATGATTATTGTGACATCATACACTGAGCTTATACCATACCTTTGCCAATATGGATATCTCCCATAAAGTTGGCCCCTGTTACATGCATGGCCATTGGCCTCTAAAAAGCAAACCTACATATAACAAACAATAAAAACAAATAAACAAACAAACAAATTATGTTGGTGAATGCCTACTTCAATTTAAAGTCGATATTACTAAAGCTACATACAACTTACTATGATAAAAGAGAAGTTTTGAACGCTATATATTAATTTAAATGTCAACTTACAAACTTAATGGTATACCTACTCCTAATCATTAAAGATGCATGTAGCTTACAGCAAGACTTCAACATGCAAAAATGTGACAACCTGGCAAGTTATTGAAAATGATTACAAAATGTAACAATTTGTTACAGCTGCTGACCGCAACAATAGTCACAAAAACAACGGTTTATCAATATCCCAATGTTTCTTGTTGGTGACAAAATCACTGAATGCTAAATTTAAGGTACTGGGCAAAAGAAATGAAAAATTAAAAAAATCAACCCCACGCAATCTGGCAATGTATAATTATTGAACAGTTTTGAGGAATGTACCAAAAGAAAATCAATATGTATAACAACAAAACATAATAATATATTAGTCTAAAATGAGACCACTTGTTGAGTAAGTGTCACGAAGTTTCAACTATGGTTGAAATTGTCAATATCTGAATATGCAAGACGCATGCATGTAAAATGACAAAATACTTTGATTTCCATTTAACTATATACTCGTACATGTCAGATGTTTGCAAATTATAGGTGCGTAATAATAAATTAAATTGTGATTTTCTATACCATTTTGTTTTAAATTTTTCTTTGAGTCAAAGCGTCCTTTTGTATACATTTATGAATTTTAAGTATAAAAATATTTGTTTTTGATGTCATATATCTTTCTTTTGTTACATAGCAATAATGTACATAAATTGTGTGAAATACTGTCATTATATAGTCATATTTGTTCTTGTATTTTCATTATTATTCAATATGTATTTTATCTTATTTCTATTCATTCATATGAAAGTATGGTTAATTGTAATTAAAAATCCCAATATGTAACCCCAACTCGAACCATTACATAATATCTAACAAAAACATTTACTATACAATACTAATATGATAATATAAACTACTTCTTAAACGAACTATTATATTTATTGTATGTATTACTTACCTTGGGCGAAGCTACAGTAGGTGTTGGAGTTGTAGAAGTAGTAGAAAATGGACCTGGAATTAAAGTCACAAAGTTCAAACTAATTATTATCCAAGACTTGAACGTGTTTGAGTTTGAGGTACATGAAGGTGCATACAGTATATAAAGGTTTGTAAAATGCTGTATTTCAAGAGGGCGGTGTGTAGCTTCACGGATGCGATGAAGGAGTCATGAATATTAAGATGTTCGTTGAATAATATGAAGAAGCTATCAGAATCTTCAGCTTCATTTATTGTCCCCAAGTCGTCCAGCCCTCGAGCAGATATATTTTATTGACCTTGAGATAATTCCAATGTTCTGAACCCCACATTAGATATTCTTTTTATGACCTTCAAAACAAGCGATATTTCGAAATGGATAAAGTAAATTGGCACGACTGTTTTGGTATTAGTATTAGTTATTTTATATAAATATTGATGTGTTACCGGGTGATCAAGGTGACTTGGTACTGAAAATGTAAGACAATGTACATGCAATTGCTTATTCAAATAAAGTTCGTAAAGCAAAACGAATAGGAACATCTAAAATTTCTAAAATTTCACAGTGTTTAAAAAATAAACTTTTGGACAATATGGAAGCTTTTCCATAACCAAATGAGCATTGAATATTGAATTTCTAAGATTATACAATTTCTATGTTGGTCAAAACCTTTTCGAGATAAGAAGGGACAAATTTTATTTTTCACTTTGAACCTAAAGATTTTTAAAATTATTCTTTTATTTTGAAACCCGAAATGTTCCAAGGAAAATATTTCTTTCCAGATCATCCCTTTAGGCTTATTTGATTGGGGTCTTGAAGGAGAACTATGCAATCGAAGTAATTTCAGTAACATACCCATAGTTGTAGAAGCAGGAGCACAACTGGCAACCTTCTTGCAAACAGCACCTAAAAGTTATGCCACATATTAATAGCATTGTGTTAGGAGGGGGGGGGGTGGGGGGGAGGGGGTAGAGAGAAATTATTATAGCAAACAAGAGGTATAAGTATTATGGCATTAAATCTTTTGACTAGAAAAGTTGATTTTTAGTCAATTATAAGTCTCAGAGGAATAAACATAGAAACCTTCAATCTTGAGAGGAAATTGACATGGAAAAATGCTCAAAAAGGGGGTCTTTGGGGCGGCACATAGGAAGTATATTGGAGTGAAACTCTCGGACTTCAGGATAGACTGTACCGTGTTAGAGGAAAGATTCGTTTGACAAATATGGATAAATAAGAGAAGCGGGGTTAAAGCAGGGAGATGTCCACTCTCTTAGAACCGATATAACAGATTTGTCTGGAACATAGGGATGTCAAAACCCCTACTTAATGGGTTTTACTGAACAATATCGCGAGTCAAGTAATACTGTATAGTGTATATAAAATACCTGAGACAGTAGGAGATGTCAAACAGTTGGCGACTGCATTACATCGTTTTGCCTTTCCCCTTTTCCTGTTTTTCTTCTTCTTGTGCCTTGTTTTACCCTCTTTGCCACTGGTTGGAGTAGAGGTTGGAGATTCCCTTTTTTGAATATGAGATGGAAGTGAATCATTTCCAATAACGTGATTGGATAATACTTTGATTCTCTGTTCGGTTGATTGGTTGATATTCTGAAACGAAGGTATTTTAACATTTAAATTTTGCAAAGACTTTCGGAAATATGCCAATATGTTTCAACTGAACTTATGTTTCATTCGGGGTAGATCAGTAACTATGATAAAGTAATTGACATGTCATTGCGTATAGATGGCAAGTCAGAAGTGGACTATTTGTTACTATCTGCTGTATAATTTAACATATCATAAATGAGCCTGGCCATAGGAAAACCGGTCTTATCACAAAAATTAAAATTGTGCTACAGAGCCAAAAATGTGCCCAATGAAAATGTGCTAAATTAGGATCCAACTTTTTATTCTATATATGCATGGAAAGACACAAGTCACGGCTCATTTGAAAGGTCTTTTTGTGCTTTTTAAGATAAACAAAAAATCAAAATATTGACAAATCTGTGATAAGACCACTTTTCCTGTGGCCTGGCTCAAATATTGATGTTATGAAACAAATAAACAAAAATAAAATAAAAAGAATATTTGGTATTTTACTCGTATATTGTTTCAAGTATACCTCTATTTGCACATGAAGGAAGATGTATTCTGCTATTATTATTTGGTATTGTCACCTCATTTTGAAGCAATATTTCCATCTTAATTTATCACTGCATCTTTTGCCATCTATTGACAGTAGTGAAGTCCATTAAAATAAATAATTAATATTGAGTTTATTAATCACTAAAATTTAATTTATGTTCGAATAAATCATGTTTTACAATTAAGCAGAGAGTAGCGTTGCAAAAGTATTTTGAATCCAATTTTATGGTAACAATCATTGAATAATTTTATTGACATTTGTTTTTTCTGCTTTCTAACATAATGTATTCTAGGTTGAATGTTGTGTGTTATTGAAAAGTATCACGTGATTACTTTCTTTACACATGCGCAGTGAACAAATATAAAGTGGTCGAAGTCAAAATGCACTTTGTCTCCGATAAATAAAATACACTATCAATATTGTAACACGCACATGGGTTAGGGCAATTTCTATAGACCAGTATATCGTGCATATAGGTGAATAAATGACACTAACAGTAACTCACAATGCATAGCAATTGCTACTGGCTGTATAAAGTGGGTGACATTGAAATATCTTCTGCCATAAACAACAAGTGGTCGTGAAATAGTATAATGGGTTAATTTGCTATGAAACATAAAGCTTAACATGCGTAGTTCTGTGTAACATCCATGCATATAAAATAAAACCACACGATCGAACATTTAAAGACTAACGAAGCCAACAGACTGCTTATTTTAATCATTGACCAACATTTACTGTACTTAGTATACCTGGTTTTCTAAGAACTCCATTGTTGTTGTTGATACAGGATCCAGGGGCCTCTCTTGCAATATGTATGATACACTTGGTTTTAGTCTTTGTACCTCCTCTTGAAGAGTATTTACACGTAGGAATAATATAACGAACATAGGGATTGTCAAACAGATATATAAGCCTCCTAATACTGCCACTGCAGTTGCTAAACTCCTATTGCAAGAGTTACACGTTCCTGGGTGTTTGGTAGGGTGGTCTGGATGGTCAACATCAACGCTAACGCTCTTGGATAGTTCTGATGGCTTCACGCTTGGATTATCCGACATGTTTGATCCATGCGGCTACATCGAACATGTGCGTTGGTATCCTTGTTTGAATTTGCCGCTTTTTGCTTTAATGTACCTTTTGGTGAATCATATACCGGGATTCCCCTCTTTCATCGTGTCCATTTCTACATTCTGTTTGTGTATTGCAGACCCCATTCCTTATTTGAACACATTCTGTCATACTGACTTCTAAGTTGTTATTTATAAATTGTGGTTATCTTTCAAATACACTCACCCTTAAAAATAATCCAAATACGATGTCCGCGAATAAAATGAAACAGCTCACATTTTCAAATGCAAAGTAACAAGCTTAAATTAGAATCTGTGCAAGAATGATGTACTCCATTGATCTTCTAGCTTTATATTCTGTATATTATGTTGGTAAATTCGAGAAATTTAGCTGTCAAGAGAGAAAGGAGTGAAATAAGCCTTAATCTAGCATGACATTCTTAGCACGGGTAAAACACAAAATAATATCATTAAAGGTTCTTATGAAGCGTTTTATACAATGCATGTACTTCGAAACGGTATTTGTGGACGTTAAATAATAATTCAACTAATTTTCTAGCTATGTCACCAGAAACGACTGACCGGATAATGTTTATTTTTCTAAGGGTTACTTAGTTTAAGACCATTCATCGCAACATAAAACATTCTATTTCAACTTCGCGGAAGTTCTATTTTAAATTTTTGAAACTTGTATTTGAGAGAGAAAGTAAAACCTTTCCTCTTTGAAAGCTGGTACTTTGTATTTTTACATAACATAACCAAATAATGACCTTGGCAGGTCGAGGGTAAAGTCTGTACCAGTAACGCGTCATGGTCGTAAATTCACAGATATCTAGCGTTCTGTTTTGTTTTGTTTTTAGTTTATGAACGAACTGAAGAAGTGATACCATGTATTTTAACGTCCTTGTGCATTGGAATCAACTCGTTTTCGTCCACTACAATCCAGGGTATTGAAGACTACCCTGTGAACAGGAACAGGCATCCATTACGGGATCACAATCTTGTTGTCATAGTAACACGAATACATTGGTGCAACCAGTTGTGAGGCAGACGAGGCAATTGCCTCACTGAAATATTCTGAAGTTGACATTGTACTTTTTTCTTTGTAACCTTTCTAACAGAACTTAAATTCTAATCCAAAATTAAGTAGACTGTACTTAAACACCTTAAATGACCTTGAACTGTAAATATGACATTGAATACCTTTGGATACTAATTATTCTATTTTATCTTTTATTTGATTAAGTGGCCTTGACCTCACTGTTGCACCTCAAATTAACCCACCTTGACCTTTGGTCATTCATTGACCTAAGATCCAATGGAATATTATATGGACATGAGGACATTTTTAATAGTGATAGCTTCAGAAAATCATAGAAACAATTCTAAGACAACTGTTGTTTTAAGCACTCTCCAAATACATTCCACCTCTGTGGATGCCAAAACGTCGGGCATGCTTATTGTTTTATTTATGTATGCGTCTGGTGCATTGTACACTGATCTTAGAATTTCATAAAAAGTAATTTTCAAAAAACTGAATGCACACTTCCAAATGGCCTCGATTGGGAGGTGATGTTCAAGAGCAGCCCGCCTCTCTAAACCCGTATAGCAAATATATACTGCAGAAGGATTTTACCGCAATAGTACCAAACAAGAGTACCAAACAATACGCAACCGCTACGTTGAAAATAGTGCATGATATTTGTCATCCGCAGATATAAAAATGGAGAAAAGTGGCTGCGCTTGGAGGATGCAAATTAGCCTCTATCAGTAAAGAACACATGGGGGACACATGTAGGTATTCCACTATCTTGTAAACATGCCAAGTGATAACCCTTCACATGTGTCGCACTTGAATATTATATCACAGTGATATTACTATGTAAACTAATGGATATATATTTCTTCACTCAAATTTTGGTTCAAAACGGCAATTTTTACCGCTATGCAACATTTTCATGATATTGAACAAAATTGACAATTTGTTGAATTTCTAGTTGTTGGCATTCTAGAGTTCCCTAATAAAAGGAGTTCTGTGAAAATTACCCCTTCCCCCACCCCTGTATAACACGATTGTCACTTCTACAAATCACTAACGGAAGCCCGCAAAATATTAATAACCTGATAAATGAGAGAGTGTCAGTTTACCGGAAATGCCAGAGCCTAGGCCTAGGAATTCGATATCATAGAGTTGTTTTGTAAAATATATCACTGTCACCGACTAACATCTGTTGTGAAGTATAATGACCCTTAATAGCTTATTTTGATATTTGACACATCTTGTTAATCTAACATCAAAATTCTGGCTACTCTGCCTGCCTTGAATCACCCTTGTATTGAAAGTCTGAGAGTCTGTTATTAGTCTAAAGGGAGACGTGGATGGTCCGCGCCGGGGTCCGGATATATTACTGTAAATGATTTAATTCGGCGCTCGCCATTTCTGCACAATGTAAGATCGGAAGTTTGATATCTTCGACAATTACTGCTACAGGTTGTCTTTTGATAGCCAAAGTGGGTCATTGTTTAAAAAAAAAGAAAATTCGCCAAAATAAAAACGCGATATTCAACAACTTTAAAGGGGCAACAAGGACTGTAGAGAGAAAATTCAATTTTTAAATTTTTTTCTGAGCTAACAGGTTAATATTTGACTTAACACCTTCTTTGACATGTCTATTTTCTTCAAATGTGTGTATAAACTATCAATTTCAGCATTAAAAGTGTAAATTCAGTTCAAAGATTCTATAAAGGGAGTCCCACTCATAGATTTTTAAGATCCACCACGTTTCAAGAGGAATATCAACTGAGATAATGTTCATCCAGGGGGTTTCTTAATGAAAATAGATGTTAGTCTTGATGAAATATCCAAACTTAAATATATCTCGACACTGGTCGATGATCGTTGATCATGAATGGCCCTCCTGCACTAATTGTTGTACCTTTAAATTAAATGTTGTCATTGTTTTGGAAGATAATTGCTTTAGTATTTCCTTCCCGTTTGCATTGTTTACAAAAATAGTACTTCGCAAACTTGGAAGAACGGAAAAGGTCTCAGAAGGTCCTAGATGCTAAAGACGTTCCGGAATAAATGTGGAACGTGTTTTGTCGTGTTTGATTGTATGCCAAGACGTTTAATTGTTGAAATGTAGACACTTGACGTTGAAGCAATGATTTCCAAAATACAGGGTGTGTCGCAGGCCCGTAGCCAGAATTTTCCAAGGGGGGGGGGGTCACTTTTCCAAAAAATTCTTAGGGGGGGTTCACTTCGGCAAATTTGCCCAAAAATCACTCAAAAATAGTCAGAACCCCCCCCCCCTCCTGGCTACGGGCCTGTGGCGTGTGATGGCCAACAGCAGTGAGCCGGGGTGGGGCTGCTCAGGGGCGGATCTGGGAACGAACAAGGGGGGGGGGGCCCAAATTTCAGGTCAGAGAAAAAAACGTCCACGCTTGCGCGGAAAAAGATTTTGGGCCCCTAAAACCCAAAAGTGGGCCCAAATTTTGAAATTTTGAGGCCCATTTTCTTCAAAACTTGGCCTGAAATTAAAAAATAAGGCCTTAAAAGGCCCAGTTATGACCAAAAAGGCCCACTTTTTGGGGTCTTAAGGCCTTTTTGGCCCAAAAGCTTTTTGGGCCCAATTTTTTTTCTGGGCCCAGCCCCCCCCCCCTAATCCGCCAGTGCTGCTAAACTGTAAGATTGTCTTACCTATTGGTACTAAACTCTGCGCTCCTGGGAATATTGACACCGGTGATAAAGCAGCGTTCATTTCGTATTCTATTCCTAATGGCATTTTAATAGGAACTAACGGACTTAGAATAATAAAATGAATGCGTGTTTGTATGACACTACAATGGGCAAGATGGGGGTCACGCATATTTTAATTTCGTAATTGAGAAATCTCATAAATCGGAGCGACTTGCACAATCCAGGCATCCTACAAATGCAGAATCAATTAAAATTTCCATTGCCAACTGCTTATACATGTACTATAGTATTGCCGTAGTTATGTTTGGCGCATTGAAGACTTCACACGTGATAAAACACGGGCATGATATAGTTTCCTTCATATTGTAAGATGAAAAAACACAGAAAGATGTAACTGGCGGATCTGGGCAGCCTCCATAAGGATGGGCCCAGAAACTACTTTTGGGCCCAACAATTTTTAAGACCCCATTACCCCGCCCATTACTGAGGCTTATTTTTTAAAGTTTCAGATCCGCCCCTGGTTGTGATATAGGTATCAGCAGAATGTTATAATAGTCCTGTTACCCACCTGCGTGCACTTATGGATGTAAATCATTTCAAAACCTGTTTTAACTCAACAAGAGCCTTTATAGACGACCGATTGAATAACATCGACTCAAAATTCGAACCTAAACGGCAAGATATTGACCTTTGTGTATATACTATTTTATTCTATGACAAGATCAAGGAGAAATGGCAAAGTGCCAGTTCTTAAACCTAGAGATAAAAAGTAATTAAAATGAGACCCCGTGAGGACTCTTAATTAATGTTGGCAGATGATTACCCTTTTGTTGTTTTTAAGATCTTATCGACCTCAAATGCAGAATTAATGACATGTTGTAGAAGCCGATTTGAGTCCCGGTGTAAAAGAAATTATGGTCCCCTGGGGATTATGGTCCCCTTTCCTTACGGCCCTTACTGGCCCTGATTGTGTATAAATAATAAGGAAAATAATTGTAATTATGTCACCATATAAATCAATAGAGAGTAGGACCAAAATTTGATAGGACCACCTACCCTGTTACACCGGGGTTTGAGGGGCTACAAATGAAGTCGCTATTTTCAAACAAAATATTCTTATTCCTGGATGAAGCTAGATCTTGGGCTCTAGAGTGCCCAGGAGATCAAATGATTGATTTTCTGAATCAAAGAGTGTCTGAATGAAGCTGCGATTGAGAAGGGTATCACGCATTTAACTTTTGAAGGAAGTGAGTTGGTACACTTGTGACTTCTTTCAACAAGGTCAGAGTACAAATAATCCACTAGAAAAATGAACGTTTGATATAACAACTATCCCCATTCTCTTTTCGGTGGACCAAAAACTATCTATGATATGTTCGATATAAAATGATGGAGTAGAATCGTTTGAGAACAAAACGTTAATCGAATATATATCTTGACCCTTTTAATTTTGGGTTGTCATACTAGTGAAGTACATGACAGACTACAATTTCAACTAACGTCG